TCAAATACAAATATCTTTTAATGAGAGAAATTTACGATCAGATGGTAATCTAGAAAGTGAGAATCACCTTACTCTAAGAATGGGAGATTTCGATTAAACGATGATTATAAAGAGGGATTTCTTAACTATCTGAGATTTCTAAAGCTTATCTTTGAAGATGTTTTAGGTGTTTGTCTATATTTAATGGAAAAAATAGAAAGTTAGATCGTTTCCGAAAACTGGTATACGCAATCAACTTGCTACTGCTCTATTGTCAACTCTAGGGACTTTGAATTTCTGGAAAATGATTTGGTAATTCAAATGAGAGTCTATACAGTACATAGGAGAATTTCGATTTGTTTTCGGGAGATCAATGTTCAACTCATGAACGCTTTCTATGCTTTCGGTAATAATATGATTAAAACACTCTCAGCTAACTCGTTGTCGTCATCTGAGTGACTTGACTAGATTACTAACTCTACAGCTGTGAATTTAGAAATTTCAATTCCATTTAACCTGTGTTCACAGATTCCTAACAGTGTCATAACACACCTGATTCAATCTGTGCTCTGAGCTACCTCACACAGGGTGAGAACACTTCGTGTCCCAATGATTATGCTTGAAAGGTGTCATTTTGTTTGAGTGGCCTAGTGAAGGCTTGCACCCACAGATGCAGTTCAACCTAGAAATCGTCTTCTAAATTCCACCAAAAAATGAGTTCATTTTTCATATTTTTCTGTACATCAAAGTTATCGTAGCGATGAGTTTACTTTTTAAAGGGTGTGGTTTCCAGCCTAACAACCTACTTTTTTCCTTTTAAGGGCTAAGGAGTGGCAGATGATCCAGAAAACGAGTTCACCATTCACAGTTGATCATCGAGTTACCATCCATGAAACTAACCGACATCGGATAATTTCAATAGATATAATACAACACGAATAACAGGAATATGAAAAATATCCCCACCATTGGGATTATGATATTAGGAAGAGTCATCGTGAACAAACAAGGCTATAAAGTTATGGTAATACTCTAAAATGCTTATGAACAATAAGCGTTTACTGAACCACAATCCACCTTGTGAAACAAAAACACATCTGACAGTGTTTTGTGTGTAAGAATAAAACATTTACAACAAAACACATTTATCAACACTTACCTGATATCCGCAATTAAAAACTTCTTGATATAAAATAGGTGTAATGGCGTTTTCTGAGTCAGCAATACTTTTGATAGTTTTGACAACTTTTGATGCGTAATAGTTCACTAATTGGGAATATTTCCCAGGGAATTCCATTTTTTGCATGAATTCACTTATTTCTGGATTCAAAGCCCTACAGAAAGGAACGCAAAGTTGTGTGAGTGGCTTGATATTATTATGAGCAGTAGTTTGTGCTCAAAACATCATCAGTTAATATCACTGTATAGCACTGTGTGATTTATCAAAATAAAATCTTATCTATTTCGGAAAAACACAGTAAGTTTAATCTTACCACGTTCTTCGTCAGTGATATTTAGAAACCGAATTTTCTATCAAAATAGTTATTCAGATCACTGACTGATGGCTTGTATTATTGCAGAAAACGAATTCAGATACACGTTACAGCATTCATCATCCAGTAGATATAGAACTCCTTAAAAATCATGGAGAAGACATAGTTCCTACACGATTAGCTGTCTCATTCTTACAATCTCTTCAACTGCTAACCACCTCTCAGTGCGCATACCACACTACTTTGTAGACACCTTATAGGTTGAGTAGAATCACCTACAGATGTATCATTTCTTCACTTCATATTTGTGACTGTATGAGTGAAACGCGAGTTATAGAGAAACTCCAGTTGAGGCTTTTTCTTTTCACTCATTGGAAGGAGGACAATAAAATCGATGAGTACAGAAATACTTAGGGTTACGTGAAAGTGTTGACAGTGAGCAGAAGAAATCATCCTGCACTATGGAAAGCCATCAACTATAGTTCATGATAACAATAATAGTAATAATGGCTTCATTCCAAACAGTAATTCTGATACAGTGTCGAATTTGTGCGCTATGCAGTACAGCTTGCATTGCATCTGATTCTCTCTTTACACAGTGCAAGTAGAATTATTTGAACAGTGTATTCCTATTGGTAATATTGTTCAAAAGAATATAGAACACAAAACTAAGATTGATGAAGAAACTGTAAGAACAAATATTAATGATGGAAAGGATTAGAAGTGCCGTTTACTTACTTCATGTTTCCCAGTAAGCTAGTAGTGCCATGCCTTACACATTTCTCACTACATAAAATGAAGTGAAGGTATTGTGAAGTTTTTTATACTTAGTCGTTCGAGCATATAGTCTTCCATAGTTGCTTCTGATTCCACCTGATAAACACAAAGGGATAGTTTTTCGATAGAGAGGACGCAAGGAGTCCAGCAAGATGATATTTGCTAATCTCTTGTATGAGTCCATGTGTCGATCTATAACTGCACTAACAAGTTGCTTTAGTGACACCCCACTCGCCTTACTTACGACATTTGGTGCCCTACATCGTGTGATAAAGTCTTCCTTAAGTAGCTCAAGAGATATTAAGGTGGAGCAATAGGGAGTTTTCGGCAGCATACATGAAATATCAAACTTTGAAAGTAAGGATTCACTAGTTACAGACTGTCTCAATTTCTTTACGTAGAACGTTGAAAGAAATATTTTTCTACAAACCAACTTGAAATAGAAATACCAAGAAAGATTGGAGGAAAAACGCAATCCAGCTTACTTTCAATTTCTGTGAGATCTATGAAAGTAGAATCATGGAAACGAACTAGTTCATGTAAGTTGTGATTGTGTCTGAAAGTGAAGTGACATCCCCCTAGTGAAGTCGTGTAAGACATTCAGCAAACAAATAATACGGCATAATTATCTTCTGCAGTTGAGTTGCAATTTATGCCATTAACAGGAATGAAATGTGCCACAACCTATTTATGATATTATATGGAAGGATATCATATCAATAAATTAGTTAAGATGATACAGTCACATCTGCTTTGATGCATGACAAATCTTGATCAATAAGTAGTATCGATATGAATCACTAATCTTCATGCCTTATTTATGATCCTGATTATGCGTGTCTCATAAGATAAAATATATTTATGTTTGATTAGACACTAGTAACTCGTGTGTCGTTTTATTTATGTTTTATTGAAACTCTCCGTGGTGCTTTCATTAGGGATATGTGTAACTGAAGACTTCAAGTAAAACATTAATGACTCACAATTGCCACCGACATTAACGCCGTTTCATTTTATTCAAAATATGCTGACAAATGATCTGTAATTGTTCAGATTCCCTTACTAGAACCAGTTCATCATGAATTTTATTCAAACAGTTTTATTGAAGGCTGATACAAAACCCTGCATATACTGTTCACAGTGTATAGCACATTCAGGCTAATAATATGTCTTGAGAATTATTCCGTCAAATGTCATTCACAAAGCATTCAGTATTGTTTTTGATGTCTAATCGTGACTCAGAGATGATTGGACGAGAATTGTACAGACAAACTGTTCGCTTTCTATATGCCTTTATTATTTTAATTCCAGCTATTTTTATGAAGAGGTTTCGAAGTGTCTGGCGAACGAAACATGAGAATGATTTATTTCAACTTGGCTGAGATTCAAACAAATATAAATTTTAAGTAGTGATAAAATGTGCTAGATGAGACGAATTTAACCTGCATCCATCTGAATCAAGAAAACGTTTTCCGTCAGAATTCTTTGAGAATTTCGGGATTTCTTAGCGTGTCTGCACAATGAAATGTGATATAAAACATGAGTGGACTCACCAACAGGCAAAAATGATCTCATTGCCTCCAAGATGAATATAATTATCATGAAATCGGCTGATGACTTCTGTAAACAGATTTTTCAAAAACTCAAATGTAGAATCATTGGCTGGATTCATTGGACCTAATTGTCCAGTTGGCTTAGAGTCGTGATAACACTTTGTAAGTAAGTCTGGATATGCTTTTCCCCATGACAATGTATGCGCTACAAAGAAGTATTGTGACAACCGGTGAACATTACTTTGAAAACTTCTACAAGTATCCATTAAAATTTTCAAAAGAATGGCCACTGAACAAAGAATACTGTTTTCGATAACCTAAACGTTTTACTTATTATTCTACCTCTTATTTTTATTATTTTCATTATTATTATTATTCTTGATTGATTTAAATCTATCCTTTATCAGTAGGATTATCTTAACTCGCTTCAACACTATTATTATTATTGTTATTATAACTATTACTATTGATATTACTCTGTTTGCAATTCTTGTTATATTCTCTAATGCCTAATTGTTTATCTAAGTGATGTAATTGAAGCGTGATGCAATTCATCTTAATTTTGACCTCTCATACTCTCTCACCCCTTATCTATTCGAACATGACCTGGAAATCATTAGCACCTGTCATTCTGTATGACTAATTCAATGTAGTTTGTTTACTTAACAGTCTTATATCTCCCAATGTAATTCCAAAAGTATATATATCCGTGTATGTAGAGTATCCAGCTGACGAGTTCTACCGAAATTTGATGAATTCATTAAATCCTGCTTGACAATTTTACTGACACTTCAACTAAAGATATTCAAGCAGTTCACCTTTTGAATTCTTCATCACTTTTTCTGGTTTATGTGAAGTGATTGAAAAAGAATAAATGGAACCATAAACCCACAAACTGTGGTCATTTCTTCACAGAGTAGCGATAAAGTCTTTCGTCGAATAAGAAACTCTCGTGAAAATCAGCCCTAATGCGCTTCATCACATCCCTGAGTTAATATTCCTGAAAGAATATTATCATGAACAATCCGCATTACAATTTCAAACCTAGTGACTCTGCCTAACTCATGGTTCAACGTTCCTTTCGCGGCTTTATTTAAATAACACTATCACACTGACTCAAATATTTACATAATATTATTTCATGTGGAAACAATTCGTGGATAATTACATCATACCAAATGTCTTCAAACTTCATTACCTGGAGTATCAAACTCTGGAATGATCCGGACTCCACGGAGACGAGCGTATTCCAATAAATCAGACACTTCTATTTCATTATATGTACACTTTTGTGGATGATATGCACCCTGTTCAGATTAAAACGAGAATCGAAATTAATAAACAGCCGAAAATTCACTCAACTTACCTTGTCTGACAGTTCTGGATAGGTGGTTGAGACAAAGGGAAACGATTCGTCATCTGTGATATGCCAATGGAGGACATTCATTTTAACCATAGCCATGATATCCTGAAAACAGAAAATACTATACCGAATATCACATCTCCTACTATTGTCTTCCGTAGGGTTTCAACTGGCATGAAATTTCTTCCGGTATCTAAGAGCATTCCACGATGTACGAATAATGGTTCATCTTCCACAGAACCCTTAAATATCATATTCTAGATGAAATATATTGATGAAGTCAAGTTATCAACAAGAAACAGAACGCACTCCTCCAAATTCATCCTTGTACACCATCTGAAGTACAGTTTCAAGGGCACGTAGTGCACCCCAAACCTCTTTCGAACTTATCGAAATTTCTGTATCTTCAATGTTCACGTTATCTGCAAAGTGATGAATGAAATACTTCTTGTGTTGTGTTGTGACTCACATGATTCGTTCATTATATGACTCGGCCACAGTTTATCTGCATTTTCGTCACATCCATCCATGATTTCAATTTTCAGTTTGTTTATGCTACATTCCTCTTTGCTTTCCTGAGAAATTGGCGGATGCTGTGATGCTAGACGGAGTTGAAATCTTGTCAGTGAGTCTATGAGTATAAAGCATGTTGGGTAGTTGTGTTCGTAGGTGAGTGTGTGCACCAGGTTGCAGGCTGTTGAATCTTTGTTGTAAACTGTTGGTTTTGGGACAATAGCGAGAGTGCGCCGACTTGCATTACTGAGGAGTAACACAACCACGAACCACGCAGAATAACAGATCATGACTACTTTTTGTTTTTGCAGCAGTATATTTCTCACTCGAATCTCAACAAGTTTTATACTAATTGTGAATTGGATTTTGAACTCATTGGACATCTGATGAGAAAAATATCATTCAACCAAATGAGCGTATCGCCTAGTAGTTTGTTTATGGATTGTGTATTACTGGAATTTAAATAATTATAGTGATTTTTGTAAATAATGTTTGGGAAATGCAAATGATGAATGACGGTGACTGAACGTGAGTCGGTGAGTGTTTTTATATAAAGTGGAAATTTCCAACTTGGAATATTCTGAGTGTATATGTGTCAGATATTCTCCATCCAACTTTCACTTAATCACTTTATTTCAGCTAACTGCAGAGTAATTGCAGAAATTATCTGCTTTCTAGTAAAAGCCAGTCTTGATACATATCTCACTGGACCAGAATATAAATAGGGCTTAAAATGCATTCAGTAAGTTATGGATTTAAGACGTATGCCCGACTCGAGAGTGCTTTAGTTTGTTGAAGTTTTATTTTGGTGTGTTTTTCCGACCAGGCTTGGACGCTATTTTACACTTTTTTTCGATCTGGTAACATATACGACGCCAGATTTCATAGTTCAGCCACAATGGTCAAAGAAGTTCCTGAAAGCTTCTCTCGACGTTATCATGACGTTCAGTCTTCTTAACAAGTCATTCTGCAGAACATTTTGTTTAAAAAGCCAAACCATTCTGATTCAGCTGTTGCTACCAGCAGTTACATGTTCGGTAAAGTATAGACTAAGTTGTGACATTAGTACATTCTATCTACTAAGGTTTGTATAGTGTGAAGTGTTTATCACACAACCTGTAAATTAAAATTGATGAATCCGTGCCATATCTGTAGTTTGGTTTTTCTGTACTTTCATTAATTTATTGCTTAAAGTTTGCTTTACTTTCACACGGCAGATTGTTCCCATATTCTCATATGTGTCAGTGTTTGGGTAATTTTATAATTGTGATATTTTAATGTATGTTCTCATCATAACTTGTGCACGATGTATTTACCACAAAACCTTACGGACACACCGAACATTCGTAGGGTTCACCCATGTGGAAATGTGTTTCACCCTTTGTCTTATTTACTCTCATGATATTAAGTCTCACTTAGTTATTGTGTGGCTTCGTGAAAATATTATCGACGACATGTGTGAGATCATCGCCAATAACTCTTCAAAACATCAGGGTCGTTTCAAAGCTGCTGTGATAAAAGGAGTTGTACCTACAGGACCAGTAGTGGGTAGAAAAAGTCTCCCGAGATGTACATTTTAGGGATATCACTCCTAAACAAATACCTTATTAGATGTAACAGCTATTCGCTGATATAAAAATTGACGATGCTTTCAGAAGGCATGGGAAATCCTGTCAATCCTTCGAAATCCACTTTAATAAAAATGAGAGAGAAAGACGACAGAACTGTCAATGCTGTTAAGGCTAAAACCAGCATTTTGACTACATTTATTAGTAGTTGTTGCTGTCACAAGGATCTATGTCCCTTCTAAACCGATGTCATCGAGTTTTGACTCGGCGGCCCATGTAAATATAATTCATCGGATGTGTAGTATTATAAAGTAGATGAGAACAAGATATTTGTCGCATGATTCCTTATTTATCTGTTGTAGCACAAACTTCTGACCTATTGGGAATAAGCCATCGTGTTTAAGAAACTATCAATATTGTGGTGCTTTTGTATCAAAGACGTTGTGCTGCCCTTACCAAGAAATAAACTCGTTTTTGTGCCTTGTACGCCATTCGAGACACATGTGGGTGAGCATATATTGATGACTAACATCTCTTGGGGATTGGAACAGAGACTGTTGTAATCCCACATGCAGTGGATGAGCATTCCCAGACAGTGTCTTAGTTGTAGGGCGAAATGTTCACTTTGAAATTTTCCATCATTGTGTGACGCAGTTATTTTTTTATTGCTTAAGTCCAGAATCAAGTGTATAGTGTGCAAAATGCCAAATGGCTTTCGAGGACTGACTCTAACAAAAACCATCTTACTAATTGCACTCTGAGACAATTCATAGTAGGCTGTGACGATTCTTCATTTAGGAGTCGGAGCTATGTTTGGGTTGGCTAACTCTTAAAATTTTCAATCTTGCCGTTGAAAGTAGGTTAGTGCAAAGAGTTTACATGTGTCCTACTCCTGGAGGTTAAAGTAATCACTGAAGTAGGCAGAATTTAATCCGTTTACGTCTACATTATTTCTTATTAGATATATCACACAGTAAAACTGTATTATTTAATGGACGACAAGGTTTCGAACGCAATTTATTGTTATTATAAAGATATTTTGTACTTCCCAATGTATGGAAAACAAAACGATATTCTTTTCACTGACGTTTCGCTATTTATTGCTGTTAATAGCTTTATCAAAGTGTTATTATTGAACCAGAATTTACAAAATCTCAGCAGGTATAATCGAACCCGCTCTACAGCAGTTCACCAATAAAGAATCACAATGTGTACGCCAGAAAGATGTCACATTTATTCATAACACAACGAAACCTACCATCTAATCTCACCAAACAAGAATATGAAACCTCAAGAAATTTGAAGAAAGCCAAAAGCATCATTATAAGTAAAAAAGACAAGGGAAACGTCACTGTGATAATGATCAGGACTGATTATGAAAGGCGGGCAATTGAACACCTATCTGAAGGAACATATTTACTCATTGAAGAAAGGAAGATATCTGCCAAATTCAACAAAATGAAACTAAATACAAACAGACTCCTTCAAGAAGTGAAACCAAAATTGGAAATTCCCTATGGCTTACACTGAAACCAAAATCTCATGTACTTTCAAGATTCTACGGTCAACCAAATATACATAACCCCACAGTTCTATTAAGACCAGTAGTAGATTTCACCAACTCACCGACATACGACCTCTCAAAATACTTATTTTCGAAACAACAAACACTGCGAAAGGACACTCAAAATATACTAATATGTTCATGTGATTCCAAATCCCAAATAGAACGCCAAAAGATTGATAAAGGAAACATTATGGTGAGCTATGAAATTAACTCATTTTATACTAGTATCCCCATATTAGAAAGTCTTGATATCATTTCCAGTCTACTAGAATCATATACAGCGCTATCACAAAGATGTCAACTGGACACAAGTGAAATTATTAAGAGCTTTAAATTCTGTCTAGAAAGTAATTACTTTATATTTAAAGAGAATTTATATAGGAAGACAAATGGTGTTGCTAAAGTTGCTGACGTTTCCGTGAATAGATTCGCAGATAACATCTTTTCAAGCGTACTCACTCCTAAAATATGATTAAGATATGTAGTTGATAATTTTGTAGTGCTACAACGATATGTACACAGTTCATTCCCGGAGAAAATAAACTGTGTATCTCCCGGAATCCAGTTTACTTCTGAAGCAGAATCAGATGTCGGTGAACTACCATTTCTAGACTGCCTAGTTAAGAGGAGGGAATACGGACATTTTGCTATATCTGTATTCATGAAAAAACCCACTGCAATAAATATTTAGACTTCGGATCATCACATGCCATCAGCGCAAAGGTATCAGTTGTTTCAAGTCTTCTTAGACGAGCACACTCTCTGATAACGGGTGAGAAATAAAAGGAAGTAGAAATATCAAACATTGTTGAGACTCTCAAACGAAACATCTACCCAAACAACTTCATCAACAAAATCCACACTGACAATAAGTATGGTCGAAAACGTATTCCGAAAACATGAACCTCAACAGTTGTCATTCCATATAGAGCGGAGGCGTCAGACGATATAAGGCGAGTACTCAATGAGCCAGACATCAGAGATTTTTCAAAACATCAATTACACTGCGAAACAACCTTGCCCATAGAAAACACCAAATCCCTATAGATTCTCTATCTAATTGTGTCTATAAAATAAAATGCTTGGAATGTGATGCAATACATTTCAGACGAACATCTCGAGAATTCAAAACCACGAGAAATTAACACTGTAGAGCATCTGTTCGACCACTAGAAAATCCAGTTGAGCTAGAAAAAAAAATCATCAGCCGTAAGTCTACACACCAAAGAATCCGGCTACAAAATTGACTTTGGCAATATTGATATAATCCAGATAAATTTCTGAAATCACAAAGAACTAAGGCCATCAGAAGTACATCATACGAAATGGAATCTAAATTAACTGGAAAGGAACGTTGGACTAAAACATAATTTTACCTGGTTACAACCTTCCCCTTCGTCATGAAGTGACACATTCAACACAAATGTGATAAGCAATTTCGCTATGTAAGTACGCGC